TTAATCTGAACACTGCACCTTGAAACAAAACATGGATCAGTATGTGTCAACTGGGCCTACCCGTGTAACCCTGTGAGGAACATGAGGGAGGGCATTTTAATGTCTGGTGACATGGTGGGTTGATTTTACTGCTAAAGGGTTTCATGCTCAGCCCCTGAGAAGGTCACATACCTTTGCACTTTCACCATTTGTACTAGCCAATTGCCCATCAAGAACGATGGGTGGTAGGGGGCTGGGATGCAGTGCCGCTACCTAATGCCCCACATGCTGCCACTATTCTGCCTCTTGCAAGGAGTGGGGTGGGGGAGCAGAGGCCAGCCCCCACCCCCTGACCAGCCCTTGGCACCACTTGCAGGGAGGCCTCGGCTCCCCCACCCCGTCCAGTCCTCAGTGCCACTTGCAGGCAGTGGGCTGAAGGAGCCTAGGCCAGAGCTCTTGGCCTCAGCTCCCCCACCCTCTGTCCAGTTCTTGGCACAGCTTTGGAATAATGGTGGTGCTCCCCCACACTTGGAGCACTCCGATTGGCTGTTTCTGTCAGCCAGTCAGAACGCAAACAAAGCATTACGGACAGAGACAGACAGACAGACTTAGACTTTTATAATATTAGAATAATACAGGTTTAAAAAAAAAATAAGAAGTCATTTTTACCACCACCATAAGCCAATGTTTAGGTTGCTGTCAATAAAATGGGTAAATCCAAAATTAAAAAAAGTTTTGTTTTAAATCAAGCCTTTAATTCTATAAACCATTATTTTTGCAAAATCTATAGTTTAGGCCTGACACCAGAACTACTCTCTCTATATATAGGAGAGCATGACAAGGCTGACAAGTCAAAAATATGACTTATGAGTTGTGGCAGGGACCACATGGACATGGGAAGCATTTTAAACCAAATCATAAACAGGGCTCTTTTTCCGGTTGTGTTAGCCAAGTGCCTAAGTATCAGAACACAGACAACATGAACCCATCTTTAGAATAATTTACACTTCAAAATGCAGCCTTCTGACAAATTTAATTTTACTGATAGAACACAGGAACATAGGCGAGTAGCAATTCACGAGTCCTTCTGAAGCTAGTGCAGTAAAAATCTTTGTAGGCTCTTAGTAGGTATTTAAATAAAAACTAAAAGGCCATTTATCAACTAAGAGATGGATTTTTTAAGGCTATGAGCTTCACCTAAAACTCATACTCTCAAATTTACATTTAATCTGCGGATCTGCATTCCATCTACTGGTTCCAGAGTTAGCAGGAGGCCAAGACAGAATGTCCTAAACTAGGATCTTGTTATGCAAGAAATGGTAATAAATAAATAATTGTGGATAATCATTGAAAATCTTTTAAAATGTGTTTAAGTACATTCACCTATACATCTTTGCGCATGTATCCATAAGCATTTTTAAAAAACATCTTCCCTTAAAATGCTTCTTCAAGACCCACCTCAATTTGTGGTTGTTTGGGGGCAGTAGGGAAGGTAAGAAATGGGGCAAAAGCAGCAGAGAGTAAGGAAGGTACATCTACTAGCTTTGGAAGTTCCCCTTCAATTCACTGTTCTTACCAGAAATAGAAGACTGAATATTTATTGTAGAAAGTAACTGCTTTTCCACTGTCCTAAACTGTAGCTAGACTCTCTTTGAAACCTAAGATTTATGTTCATGTCACTTCACTTGTGAAGACCAATGTCTTGGGGATGGCAAGGAAAACAATTTGCTGGAAAGCAAAATCCTTTACTCCTGAATATTCTGTTTGGAAGAAACATTTTCTGTGTTTTTTAGAATCTTAGATTTTTACTGTTTTTATAAAGTTTCTAATCGCCTGGGCTGCAAAAATGTCCTTTAACTATCGCTCATTTCAGGTAACCCAGTCCTACTGAAGTGCAAATGTTCCCCAGTCAGAACTTAACTAGGAGCCTATCAGCATATAAAGCAAATATACACACCCTGTGCTTAGTCACTGAAACTTAATTACAGGAAGCTATTTAGTCCAATTTTGATTTACATCAAGGTTACATGCAAACTAGAAATAAAATTAATGATACCTTTGTTATCCATTTCAGTACTAGGGGCAGAAACACTAAGTAGCTTTCTGACAAGCTGATCCAAATCTAGATTTTTATTTTCAGAACCTCCCTGTGCATTTCTAAAGGCTCCTCATAAGACTGAAAAGAACTAAATGCACTCCAGACAGAAATATAGGAGAATACATACAAGCCTTGTCAGGAGAGCTTTCCAGCAGGCTAAAGGATGTAGTAAATGGGGCCCAGGATATGGTAATGGAGGTCACTTCTCAACTACAAGCAGAAACAGAATAGTAAGGTGCTCTTCCCGACAGAGAACCTTCCCCACAAATAGCTTTAATATCAAAATGTGCATACCAGCAAGGAGGAAGTCCCCACACACCTTACAATAAGATATGGCTCAACCATATCTGAGTATTTTCTTTTATGCTTCTGACCCCTTGCTAATGGCCACAATGATCACATAATGTACCAACATTCATTCTAAGTATACGCTCACTTGGAAGGGGCAAAGTTGTGCATCTTCCACAAAAATCGCAATTTGAGTAGGTCCCTACTTCTAAGATCAGCCTGCACTAAATGCATATTCTCTCTCACATCCCAAGAAGTTTACATATACAATGCAAATCACATAAAAATGGTACCTATAGTCACTTTTAATAATGCCAACAGAAGACACCTCTTAGCAAAACCAGCTATGCATTACTTAACATGAGGAAAAATACTTAGGCCTTTCTTACGAAAGCAAGGGATTTTATCTTCTGAAACTTGTCCATCTTCACACAGCTTAGCACAAAAGACTTATAATTTGTTAACAAATTACAGTGAAACACAAACTCTCCATGGCAAAATATCTGCAATTAATTCCAATTCATTCATAACTTGACAACCTTTTACTCAGCTAGTACTGCAAAGGAAGTTTCACATGCTACACTGTTTTTCATGTATTACTAATGCAAATGTGTTGCGATTTCAGTGTCTGGCTATTACATTATGATTTCATCATTCTTTTTGTCTATTTTGGTTTGAAGGCTCTTTTGCACTTGGGAAAATTAAATGTTCTCTCACCTTCAATCCAAGATTTCAATGAGATTTCATAGCAAGATAGACTTTGGGCACGTCTACACGTGCCCCTACAGCGCCGTTGTTACGGTGCCATCATTCAGTACTTTCTTTTGGAAGTACTAAATGATGGCACGCACAGTAACAACCTGTACTGTGCCATCCGCATGGTGCAATTATTTTTAGCTGCTACATCACCATACCAACACGCTACACTGAGGTAGAACAAAAATGGTTGTTGCCCACCCACACTACGTCGCTGTAGCACATTACTATGGCAACAGCATCATGTGTACCCAAGCCCTTTATTGTTCTAATGAGATGGTGCAATTAAGTCAATAAATTTTGACAGGTTATTACAATAGCAAGTCCTGCACATCATCTGAGATCTCATCTGTTCTGCAGATTTTAAAAGCAAACTGAGGATATACCAACATTCTAACTACTACCTGTGTCAAATTCTTACATACATCCTTACTTTCAAGATGAATATAGAGTTTCATGCCGAAAAACTATACTGCGTCATTAAAACTGAATTATTAACTGCACATATCAGAACTGCGGTACAAATGTTCTTACATGCCCTACTTTGCTTTATGTATATGCGTTAGAACGGGGTTCTTTCATAACAGTATCACACAGAACGAGGTGTACTTTTTTTTGGGTCAGGAAAACATAATATGAATGGAAACAAGAGTCCATAAGGCTTTTCAAACCTAACTTTCTTCTATGCTTATCAATTTATGTACAGCATATGGCATTACTGCCTATATCATGCAAACTGTAATTCTTTCTTTCTGATATTCACTAAACAATCATCTCAGACCACAAGAGGAAGACATTTACTACACAACCATTCTTTCATCCAGCAGGACACTCGACTCAGCCCACAGATTCTACCTACGAACACAAAAATGTGAGGCTACCTGCTCAGAACAGCATCTTATTCAGCGGCAATGGTTAGTCTTTCTCTAGCTATGAACTAGTCACCCAAAACACAGGCCATTTAATTCCTATTCTGCCTCTCCTCCTGAGCAATCACATACATTAGTAATAACCCTAAAGCCGAGAAGAAAAAAAAAAAAAACACTTTGGGGTGGAGAGGGTAAAAGATGATGAACACAAAGCACAACATTCCCAGCTTTTGCTGTCAGGAACAGAAGCAATATACTCGAAAAGAGAGTGCCATTGTTGAGCTCCCTATTATCCTCCCCTAATAGCATCCATATCACATTTGCTCAGTTCACAGAACTATTGCAGCACAAAGTCAGACCAGCTGTAGTGTCTTTCATCATGATCAACAATAATTCTCCTATTTCAACTTGACCAACAATATGATGCTGCATCTGAATGGGGTCTACTTCATTCTCGCCACAACCGTACTAGTTCTTCAAATCTATCAGCAGAAACAAACGTGTCATCTGCCCACATCCCTGCAAAGACAAAGGCATATGCACCAGGAGCCAATCTATTGAGCAAGAAATTGCCATTTTTACTTAATCACTTGTTCCTTTGACCACAATCATACTTGAAGCATCTGTAAATGTTTATTCTGTGCAAGACTAGCCAGCTCTATGAAATGAGTAACTGGAACTGATTGCTAAGTCTCTATTTGTCTGCAAAGGGTACGTTCTAAATCATACTCCAAAAACACACAAAGTTGCACAGTAACTGCTGCAATTAAACAAATCCATATAACTCGCATTGAAAAAACCCTTGTAAAACGTCACTTGTAATACAGGAGTATCACCTCAATCGAGGCTATAAAATCCTTCCCAAGAGACAGCTTTCACATACTGTCTCTATAATAGCCAAGTCTGGAAATACACATAATGTTTTACCATTTTCCCACCACCTGACCAACATGTGCGCATCTGAATGTGCAACAAGTTCCTGAATAGAAATGTTGCAACTGCTTACTTACCAGTATGTGCTGTAACTACTGCAATCCATACACACAGTGTGCTGAACTTTCTCTTGCTTTTCTGTTTTCTTATGGTTGGTTAAAGGAATCTGTGTATCTTCATAATGTTTCTTTGCATGGCCATTCACATACCTTAAAAAAACAAAAAATCATAAAAAACCCTCTTCTATTTTTAAACTCCTGGGAAAGCAAACACTGGCTAAGCTTCTTAAATCTGTCCTCCTCTCTCAAACACTCTTTTTCTCTGTCAACCAGCTTCTTTAAGGCAAGCACCAGGATTTGGCTCTCCTTTGACTTGTCATATATTTGTAATCGGAAAAAAAGAATATTAGGTCCCCATGCCCATATCAAGTGACTGACATCTGCATTTACTTGTCATGTAGGGGTTTTCTGTTCTTCTCCCTTGAAATTCAGGACCAAGTCTCTACAAGATTTCAGACAGCACAGCTAGCTTTGTTGGTCAGGCATATGAAGAGGTATAGTTCCTTCTACTTTGCTGGCAGAAAACCCTAGACACAATTATACTAGCAAAACTGCACTTTTACTGATATAGGCTGTTTTGCTTGCTGCTGGTGCTACAGCTTTTCTAGTATCCCTGCTCTCATACTAGGAGAGCTTTGCTGGGACAGTATACCAGTATTCCTATTTCAGTAAAGTACTTCTTAAGAGGATACAACCTAGGAAAGAGAACTACCAGTCGCTTCAAGTTAAGATTTGAGTGGACACAGTTTCTTTTCCTTTTACGTTGTGTTACCTGAACAAAAGGACACGTTATATTGGCTCACAAAATCCTTGAGCTCTCAAAACCATAATGGTGTTTTTTTTATGAAGCACATTAACATTTCTCTCATTCAGGTATGTTCAAATACTTGGGATGACAGGAGTTTTAAGAGCTAACCCCAAACGAGTGAAAATGTAATGCAAAGCCTATTAACGGCATACAAATGTTTTATAAAAACAGTTTAAAAAAATTAAAGAAATGAGCAAAATATTCCAAACTTTCTATTTCAGCCTTTGAGCATTCACATAATATGATGAAGTTACACATCTCTCTCCCTTCAAGCTATTAATTTTTGAAATACAGGAAAAGCAATGATTTTCTGCACTAAAGCTTTTGATAGGAAAGAAATGATTAACGCTGTTAGCACATTCTTATCTCTACATGAACAGACATTTAAAGAAACACCAAAATGGGAATTTACTGGGATCTATTTTAATAAGAAACGCACCAAGTTTAACAGTGGTTTTTAGTATAAAAACCTAGCTGTGCCTATGGCGGACCTCACTTTAAATCCTTTTACTTCCAGTCACAGCAGAAGCTGTGGGAAGAGTGGTGGCCGGACTAGAGCTGCAAAGCTGCCAGTTGGACACCCTGATATAAATGCCAGTCAATTAGACTGAGCATGCACATCTCAGGACACTTGTTCTTCGAAGTGCAAAGAATCATTTCCATCACTACATTCTTACACACATTTTCAGTGTACTTCAACAAATACATATAGAAAAAAGATGTCTTGTGAAAGACCACCTCTACCAGTTATTGATGATATAGCTAAGGGCATGTATTTTGTTTTAGGATTCTCGATGACATACATATAAAATCCCTGCAGCTTAAACTAGCCACTGGCTACTTCTCAAAACAAACTGGGCCAAATTTTGGTTTGCAAAATACTAAGGAAGAGCTAGCTGCTGTTTGTTTTTAAATCCACAACAGAAGCAACTTCATTTTAGAGGGTGGGAAAGAACCTAATTAGTTCACGCATAATTGCTGTTGTAATTATACAAGTGTGTGAAAATAACTTAGCTAATATTTGAAAAAGGTGGGGGGAAGGGACACAGCACAGTCTAATAGCTCCACCAACACAAAGTTGGAACTGACCGACAGTGTAAACCTCTTCACAAAAGACATTTCATGCTTTCAAGCAAAGGAAAGTATAAAATCAAAGACTACAAGAAAGCAGAGAACATTCATTATGAATCTACAGCAAATAAACTGCTGAACTGCAATAGCTTCTATGCTACTAAGGTATAAGGGAACTATCAAAAAAGGGCAATCAGATATATTTTTGAAAGGGAATAATTCTAAGCAAAACATGCAGCAAAGGAAAAATGATGCAAAAACTGTAAAGAGAAGCTGAATCATGTGAGGAGTTGCACCGATTTATCCTCTACCTACCTTCCACAATGGACACTTGAACAAGTCAGACAAACCCAGGGACTTTTATTTGATCGGCACACTATTAAAAAACAAAATAAAAAGTTAGGGGTATTAGCCATAATAACAGTTATATAACCCTTCTTGCAAGATGGAAATAGCTCTGGCCTGGCTCCATAATAGCCAAATGGTTATATAAAGGGGTACATTTAGCTATATTTAGGACAGTAGGAGAGATGGTGATTCTAAGACATATTAGTCTGGATTTATTTTTACTTACACTATAGGCAACTAAGACATTTATCTATTGATCACAGTTTCACTTTCATTAGCTTCAGGAGGTCGATATTCAATTTCTACACACAAGTACTGGAGGTAACAAACTATGAAGGGATGAAAATCTGAAATTAAAACATTTTGTTTGGCTTTTAACACTGCAGTCTACATGGATGCTACCCTCCTACCCCCCAAAACCCCCAACAACTGCATATGGCCATTATTTCAAAACCTGTTACACAAGAGACTATTTTAAAGAAATGATTATGGAAGAACTTGGCAATTCAATAAGTGCACAGAATAAATTAAGCTGTAAAATGCAATAACATGCTCCATTTCCACAGTGCTCCTTTCTATGTGAAACCACTGCTGAAGGTCTTACCCATAACATTTTAACCTTTCAGTCACTTGTCCTACCTAGATTGAAAGGATGAAATGAGATGAAGTATTGTGTTTTACAGTCCACTCAAAGTCAAAGTATATCAACATCCAATGCAAAGGGTAAAAAGGAAAGGTACAGAGGTTTGGATTTCTCAGTACTTAAATAAGATTCTTATAAATTCACATACAATGAAACCTGCGCTGAAAATTGCCCCTGGTGTTTTCAGGGATCATAAAATATCCTTATGGCCATGATTATATAAACAAGCTACTATTCTTAATGGGCACCAAACCAACCAGCTTTCAAAATGTCAGCCACTCCTTTATAAAACAATGAGAAAAATAGTAGGCACAAGGAAAAACACTTGTTTAGGCAACACAGTAAAGTTTTACTGGAAAAGATAAGCTTTTTGATTATGTGCCAAGTTTAAAGAAACCTAAAATAAGCTGTTACATTACACATATGAGCCTCTGAAATATCAGAAGTCTAATATGTCTTCCTTTGTGGAATAGATTTGTACTGGGTCGTATGGACAGGTTCACTTTTTCAATTCAAGGAAAAGTGTTTTTTTCCAGTCTGTGCTAATAGCCACAAATACTAAACCAAAACGTCTCAAATGGAGTGGTCTTGATTGACACAACGTAGGACGACACCCGAAGGAACTCCACCAGGCTGCTGACAGGCATCCGCCAGAACACTGAAGAATGAAATTTTCCTTTTAAGGGAAACAATTTTACCAAGAAATCCTTTACCAAAACACACGTATTTCAATAAAATTCCTCCCTCCATCTTATAATTCAAACAAGAATGTAATTAAACTAATTTATGCTCCCCAGGAGCACTATGTCACTTTCAGATTTCAGTCAGAACAGAAGATAACAGACAAGCAGAGAAGTCACTTTCACTTAGGGAGGAGGTTCTACTACTTCAGCACAATGCTGCTGTGTTTGAACTCACAATTCCTCCAGGGAATATTTAAAATGTCAAAATTCCAGTGGGTTCACTGGGAAAAAATGCATTAAAATATTTTTCTCTGTTGTAAAACTTTTTTTTAAAGCCCTCATTTTGAAATTACAGTAACTACCAGACTGTGACAATTTAAAATCATGATCTGGTGACAGAAAGCCCTCAACATTCATATTGAAACTCACCATGACTGTGAAGCTCGTTTAATTTTACTTTGAAGAACTACTACTTACAGGACATTTTTTGCTCTACTGGTGAAATGCCAACAACAGAAAATTTGAAGTGCTATTTCTAAAGGCACATGGATCCCCACCAGTGATAAGGATGACAAAAAGCAGACAGGAAAGCAGGGTAGAACCATCGTGATTTGAATTTCTTATTAAAAAAGGAGAGAGGAAAGAAACGTTTTACCAAGTGGAAAAGAACAAGGCTGGTCAAGAAAGAAAAAAATAATTCAAAGCTTTTAAGTCTATCTTCTCTCAGAACAAAAAAATAAGGGATGTTAAATGCTTATAATTACATACAGGATGATGCACTAGCCTGGGCCCATTAGTCTGATCTGACATGGCAATTCCCATGTCCCCGAGTCACATAACCAAGATTCAAGTAAAAAATTAACTGCATAAGACAAGGGGGGGTGGGGGG